TCTTGTACGTGAGCCCCATCTCTGCAGGTGGAGGGTGCCGTGGGAGGACCACGGGGGGCAACACTGCGCTCACTTTCCCTTTGGGTTTGACATCCTCCTGGCTGAGCTGTGGGTTGAGTTGGGATTTCTTGCAAGACCCCAAACGCCTGAACGCCAATTGAAAAGCTGTGGTTATTTGGGGGAGAAATAGGAAATTGATGGGTGCTGGATGAGCCTGCCATGCTAGGAGAGGGACTGCATTGCTGTGCTGGGTCTCCAGCCCCATTCCCCCCCTTTCCCTGCCAAGGTCCCAAGGATCTCATGGCTGTTGCTCTGGGTTAGAGCTGCTTTTCCATCCTCGTTTTGCTCTTTGGTTTCTTCTGTACATTTTCCAGCCTTTTCCATCCGTTCCCCAGCATTATTTAACTCACAGCTACTGCCCCAAAGCCTCCCTGCGATGCCAGCAAGACCACAGTGCATTTCATGGCTTTATGAAGCACATGGAGCCCATCCACATCCAGGTGACACCGCTCTGTTTGAACACCACCCAAAAAAACCACTCAGAAGCCATGTCCAGAGCAAGCATGTGCATTCAGCCCTTTGCACACCACATAAATGAGGGCAGGGAACAAAAACTTCATCCATTAACACCATGACAGGTATTTCCCTGTTCTTAGGCTGGGCCTAGGCGAGCAAAGCACTTAAGCACATGATTAATTTGAAGTCTAAGAGACTTAAGCACGTGCTTAAGCGTTCTGCAGCCCTGGACTTAACAACAGAGGTTTCTACAGAGCAATCCATGCTCACGACACATTACGGGGGCAGTCAGATGTATGGATTAAGGGTGCCATAAACAGTTGAGATATTCTGTTTAAACAATCATTTGTTGACAAGACTATTCTAAGCCCATCGAATCCCTAAGTGATAGATGTATGTTGTCTTTCTGAGTCTCATGCTGTATCAGCCATTGATTTTTTCAGCCTGGATGCTAAGGTAACCTTTACCTGAGAGCTTAAGCAGAAAGCAATGGGTGTATGCTCACCGTGTTTGCATTGCTGGAGCGAGGACAGAGCGAGGGCTCATCCTTGCATCCGTCCACACAGCACCTCCTCACCTCAAACAGGGGGAAGGGGAAGATCACCCAGCAGTGACATCGCTGCGTGGGGACACAGGGGGTGGCAGAGGGCATTGGCCCCATCCTCAGCCACGCAAGCCCTGCCCAGGGGTTTGCTCCAACCTCACATCTGGAGGTGGATTCTCATCCCCACTACTCGAAGAAGGGCGCCGTCGCCCTTCACTGTGCCACCCAACAGCAGCTCTGAGAGATGTTTGTCCCCCGAGACCAACGGGTGCCCCGGTGGCTCCATCCCCACATGGGCTCTGTGTTGGGATGCCCTTCTTGGAGATGTGTTTTAATCACATTTATACGGCGTAACCAGGGGAAGGAATCTATCGACAGACTGTCTTCACATTTCTGTCAATTCTTCCGTAGACATCATTAAATCCAAGAGTGGATCTTAATTTAACGTGTTAGCTAACGGGTTATTTAATTAGTTTTCAATACCCCCCCCCTCCCCCCCCCCTTTAAATAAAATAAAAAAGAGGGGGATGGGGAAATGGGCAATGTATGAAGGAGGGGTTGGGGGGGAGAAGAAAGAGCAAGATGATGAACAAGTCCAGGTTTCCCGGATCTGCACAGAAATCATCTCCTCGGCCCCTTCACCCCTTCTCTCTCACAAGAATGAGCCCTGTTGCGTTTCCCCTTCTCCCCACTGTGTTCAATAATAAATGAAAATGGTAAAAAGCAATTCATACACAGGCTAAGCGTCTGGATTTATTATCAAGACAATTACACCGAGGAGAATTCCCGGAAAATTACTCTTAGAAGTCTTTCTCTGCCACCCCCCCTCCTCTTTTGGATAAATACAGCTGCAATTACAGCTGTGGGAGAAAGGAGGGCACACAGAGAGGGGCCGATGCCCTGTGCCCCATCCGGGCTGATTCTTGGGGTGCCACTGCGGTGGGGTTGCTTTGTGCTGGGGGCAGCAGGGGACTTTGGGGTGCACGTTTCCCATACAGCTCTGTGAGATGGGTATCGATCACGGCCAGCTCTGTGTGTGTGTGTGTGTGTGTGTGTGTGTGTGTGTGCATGCACACGTGCAATAGCTGGGGGCTAGGAGCTGCTTTGGGTTATTTGGGGTGAAATTTGCACCACCGTCTTGGGACTGTTTTGGGGAAACCCACCCTGCAGGGACCCGAGGCCCCGCGCCATGGGACCTGGTGTCGGGCAGCCCTGGGGGCAGTGGCTCCCTGCCTGTCCTTGTCCTTGCTTTGTCCGCTGTTCCTGCCTTGCTTTCTGCTTTCCCCCATCCCCAACCCTGCCTCTCTCCGTCTCTGCCTCATTTCCCCTTTTTCCCTTGTCCCCATCCCTGCCTCACCCTCATTTCTGTCCCAGCCTCTTCCCCATCCCCATCTTGTACACACCCCCATCTGGATCTGCATTATCTCCCATTTTTCCTCCTCCCCATCCCTACCTTGCCCTGCTCCCTGTCTTTCCCCACCTCTGCATCTCATTCACCCACGCCTCGTCCTCATCCCTTCCTCAGATCCCCATCCCTTATCCTCATCGACTCACACCCATCCCAGCCTTGTCCCCATCTGTGCCCCGTCCTCGTCCTTCCATATCCCGTCCTTCCTCACCCCATCCCTGCTCATCCCCCCCTCCCTCCTGTCCCCATCGCTGCCGCATCCCCGGGGACCGGAGCCACCTGTTGCAGGGGCTGAGCCGCAGGCATTGAGGGCAGTAACCCCCCCATACCCCCCCAACCCCTTTCCCTCACCTCGCTTCCCTTCTGTGCCAGGGGGGGAGAGGGGGGTGGGCGGCCGTACCCCAATACTGTGACATTTGGGATGAAAATCGGGGTTTGGAAAAGCAGAGCTTCTTCCCGAACTGCTGCAAGAGGAAAACATTGCCGTAAATATTCACAGCCCGGAGACATCTGCGTGCAAACACCCGGGTATATATGAAATAAAATGCCATTTTTGGTGGGTGCGTGTATAAAACTTCACAAATACACACGTGTTTACGTGTTTCGGATGAAAGGAGGATACTGAACGGCCGCGATTTCGACGCAGAGCACTTTGCAGCCCGGAGGAAAAGGCTTCACATCGGGTTATTTTCCACCGCACCAACACACGAAGATCTTCCCCAGCTTTGTGTGTGTGTGCGCTCATAGCCGGGGGGGGGGGAGGGAGGGAAGGAACCCGGAGGGGGGGGGAAACCCGCAGCTTTTGGGGGCGCTCCGAGGGCTGCGGGTGACAACGGGCGATTAACGAGTGTTGAGCAAACCCCGATTTTCCCGGACGTCGCTGTGAGTGGTCGGCCCTCCTCCTCTGCACGTCGCCCTTTTGGGTTTGTTTTTTTTTTGAGGGGGGGGGGGGATATTTTAACTTCTTTTATTATTATTATTTTTTTTTTTTCTTTCCTCTGAGTTTTGGGGGTTCCAAAAAGCGCGGAGGTAGAAATAGGATTTCCGAGCCTCGAAAGAAAGCAGAATTTGGAGCTGCACCGGAGGATTGGAGGAGGGAAAGAGGGGGTGGGGGGGGGGATTTTGGAGGACTGAGCACCACGCTGAGCGCCCGGAATCGCTGCGTTTCTCATTCGGAAGCTCCGAAATCCGCGTCGGGATTTGGGACGGGCCGAGAGTGGGAAAGGAGAAATGGGGGAAGGGGGGGGGGAAGGAGAGGGGAGAAGGGGAAAAGGAGACAGGAGGGGGGGAAAAGGTGGGGAAAAAAGGGGGGGTGAGGAATGAAGGGGAAAAAAATGGCAGCTGGGAGCACGGCGAAATCCGAGCGCTTTGCTCCGCTTTTCCCCCAAAAGCCCCGACGGGGCCGCGCCGCTCTCAGGGTTTAAAGTTCAGCGCTGCTCCGCCGTGAACTCCTGAAAACAAATCGCGGATTGAAGAAACGCCCGGAGGTCCCCGCTGGTTTTCAGCCCTCCTGCCGGTGGGGGGGGGGGGAAGCACAAAACTGGGGGGGTCCCCGAGCCCGGCCGCGTCCCGGAGCTCTGCGTTAGAAACCTCGGCGTGTTGACATCGAAAAGAAAGCACGGGGGTCCCAAATCGCCCCCCCCCCCCCCCCCTCTGTGGGACATCGGCTGCGGGTCCGACCCCCGCCCCCCCCATAGAACAGCAATGCGGTTTGAGGGCGGCTCCAAAGTTTTGTGGCGAAGGAGAAAAGTGAGCAGAGAGCCGCGGGGATGGGGGGAGAGGGGTCGAGGGGGGGCGGCTCTGCTCGCATCTCCCGGTGTTTCTTTCCTCCCCCTCCTTGAAGGGTTTTTTCCCTGCTGCCAAAGTGGCCCCATTGAGAAAAAGCAGGTGGGGGGTTGTTGGGGGGGGGGGGGGGGGGAACACGACCCCCGGGCTGCACCTCTTCTCTGGACGCTTTTGCGAGGAGAAAGGGAATTATTCACCGAGAGAAGGAACTCAAATAACGACGATTTCCTGCGAAAAGGGAAAGGGAAAGGAACCGGGAGCGGCGAGGAAAGGGCCTGAACTTGCGGTTAAAAAAAAAGTCTAGAAGTGATAAATAGAGAAATAAATAGGAAAAAAAAAAAATAATAAATGCCGACCCCGAGGGCGCAAAAGGGGGGAGAAAAGAAGAGGGGATGGGGGGCGGCCCGGGGCTGCGGAGATTTGGGAAGGAGGAAATAATCGGGGGGAAAAGGGCTGAAAGCCCCCCGCTCCCAGCGCCCCGCTCCTACTCGCAACGCCCGAAAGCCGAACGCAGCGCGGTGACATCGAGGGAAGGAAAACCGTCCCGAAAACAAAAACAAAAACAACAAAACAGAGGGAAAAGATTTGGGAAAGAGAACAGGAGGAACTGCGCGGCCCCGGGCGGAGCTGCGCTGCTTTTGCGCTGCTTTTGCGCTGCTCTGCCGGGGCTGCGAAGCGTCGGGGCGGGACAGAGCTGAGCGCCCCGTCACGTTTCATCCCCATATTTCCCTTTAAGAACTCCAAAGCCAGGAGAAACTTCGGATTTATTTCTTCCTATTATTATTATTATTTAGGATTTTCCTGCCTTGTTTTGTTCGGGAAGCGAAAGCGTTCGAAATCCCCTTCCAGAAGAGGTATCAAAGTCTCTTCTTTTAAAAGCTATCGATTGCAAAAGTCTTATTTAAACCAACACATTTGAGTTTCTCACATTTTAAAACATCATCTGGGGCCCATTGTATGGAAAATCGATTAGCAGAAATTGCCACGCTCTTCGCCTCCCGCTTGATTGTTGTAAAATCGAGACATCCATAGGCAAAGGGTGGGCTGGGAAAGATTTGGGACCGGAATGAAAGGGCTCGCGAGGAATCCATAGGCACTGAATAATTCACCTGCCAGGCGATGGGGCTCTTGGTTGGAAGCCTTAAAGAACTTTAAGGAAGTTGGTCGCCTATAGGGGAAGTGCGTGCGGGGCGGTGCGGGGGCTGCGCGGCTCCCGCCCGTGCGTGGCACAAACAAAACCCGTGGCACAAAAATCCCCTGCTGCTGTACCTGGTTCGTCGGATGCCATAAATCTCACCCGTAGGTTCTCCTCCGCCTCTTATTTGGGGCAGCGTCGTTTTGCCTTTCGGGCTCTTCCTAAAGGGGAAAGATTGGAGGGGGGAGGGGAGGGGGGTGAGGGGGGAGGGGGGGGGGAAGAAGGATGAAAATTGAGCGCAGAACAAAAATCGCCGAAGCGCAGCAGCTCCGGGAACAGCGCTGGTACGGCAAGCGAAGGGCTTCGATGAAGGGATCCGTTGGGGGGGGGGAAGGGGGGGGGGAAGGGGGAGGGGATGTGGGGGACCCCAATCCGAGGCTTGGAGCAGCGCAGGGAGGGCGCAGGGCGGCCGCGATCCCATTTGCGCACTTACCCCCGGCACCGGGCGGCTCCTCCGGAGGAACGGAGGGAATTAGAGAGGAGAGGGAGCTCGGGAAAGGGAAAAAAAAAAAAGGAAAAAAAAGGAGGAGAGGGAAGGGATCAATAGCATCCAGCTGTCGAATGGATGGGAAGATGGGGAGAGGAACCGGCTTCGAGACGGGGCACCGAACCTCGCGCCCATCCCCGCGGCTTCGGGGCGCTGCCGGGTCGGGCCGGTGGGGACGGAGAGACGACCGACGGGACCCCCCGGTACCGGGAGAGGTTCGGTCCCCTCGAGCGCTGCCCCAATGCCTCTCACCCTAATGATATTGCATCGATCGGGGAAGAAGAAGAGCAGGGGGGAGGTGGGAAAGAAAGGGTGTGTGGAGGGGAGGGGGGGGGGGGGGAAAGGAGCTACCGCATTACTCAATTATGTCGCACTAATTACTAAAAAGTCTCTCTCTCTCTTTCTCTCTCTCTCTCTTCCCTTTTTTTTTTTCCTTCCTGTTGTTGTTTGCTGGGTGCAAAGCTCGGCGCAGGGCAGAGTCCAGCTCCTGCCACGGGGCCTCCGGTGCTGCGGGAGGGGGGAGGTTGGGGTGGGGGGGGGGGGGTTGGATCGGTGGGCGGTGCGGGGTCTGTGCGGGACGTTGGGCAGCTGCAGCTGCAGGATTGGATCCATCGATGGGCGCTCGATGGGGTGGTCGATGCTCTATCGCCATTATTACACTCAATGAAACCATTTCAGAAGCGGCTGCTTCATCCCTTGTTTGTTTCCTCCTCCTCCTCCTCGCCGTGCACCTTTTATTTTCTCCATATCCCTTATATCCTCTAGCCCTGCCTGGTTCTGGGCCCCCCTTCCCTTCCCTTCCCTTCCCTTCCCTTCCCTTCCCTTCCCTTCCCTTCCCTTCCCTTCCCTTCCCTTCCCTTCCCTTCCCTTCCCTTCCCTTCCCTTCCCTTCCCTTCCCTTCCCTTCCCTTCCCTTCCCTTCCCTTCCCTTCCCTTCCCTTCCCTTCCCTTCCCTTCCCTTCCCTTCCCTTCCCTTCCCTTCCCTTCC